GTTTCCACATCTTCAGCAGGTGTTAACCGGAAGGTGCCTCTAAATCCTGCCGGACCTCAAGGATTGGAATTGCCTACTAATGACTGGAGCAGAAGCAGGGCTGCAGACCAGATGAGGCCATTAGGGCTGTCCAACTCTTTCGGTTGCCTAAACCTTACTGATCTGAGAATCTCATCAAGCCATTTCTTGAAACACGCAAGTTCATAAGTTTTGAATACAGGATCTGGGCAGCTTGTTCCAGACTGCCACAACCCTTTGCGTAAACTAGCGGCTCGCATGAACAATCTTCAATGTACTTCCCCATAGTTACCAGTTGTGTCTTCTTGTACATTAAACTGTTGATTCTGAAAATGTCGAGGTTGACACTGTCACAGCCACAGAGATTTTTGAATAACTGAGATGGGAGCCCATTCCCTTTTTGCTCTCTTACAAGACTGAAAAGCAACAAATCACCTCATTAATAGACCTGCTGTATTCTGGCAAGCACCAGTTAGGATTTATTATAAAACATCCCAGCTCAGCCCCCTGTGCAATGTTCCGGCCATTGATGTCACACTGTTAGTCACTAAATAAAATTAAGAACCCAAAAGCACAGCAGAGCGTGGTACAGTATTCTCATTGAAAGTTATAAAGCCAAATTAGAGATAAAGCAAACTGCCTGATTAACATGGCCTATATAGTGGGATGAAACAAGGGTTAATTAGTATCAAAACCCTGTAGTGAACATTCCAGCTCAGAGTAGTTTTTTTTACTTGGTGTAAAGGTAAAATCACATGCTTTCTTTCCACATGAAGTACAGTATTGGGGTCTCATAAACAATGTATTGTCCTTAATATCTAATTCATAAAGCCCCTTACCAGACCCATCTATGCTCTACATAGAATTTGTCTCACGGAGTATGAGGAAGGGCGTTCCATAACATGGAGCAGTGAGAGAAAGGGCATAATCACAAAAGGTCCAAGATTTAGCCCTGGGTACAGTGATCAAAGGTCCAGCCTCAACTGAACAGCGCCTAGAGGAGGGAGTGTAAACATGGAGGAGTTTACAGATGTATGATGGAGCCAGATTATTTAGAGCATTAAAAATCAGTAAAAAGGTATTATCTTGAATACTTGACTTAATAGGCAAACAATGCACAGACTTAAGTGTGAGAGGTTTGTGCTGCCAAGGTCTGGTGTGACTTCATAATCTAGCTGCAGAGGTTTGGACATATTGCAACATGTTAAGTAAAGTGTTAGGGAGTCTGTGGAAAAAAAAAGAGTTGGAGAAATCAAGGCTTGATGTGATAAATGCATGAATCAGGCACTCAGCATCAGACATGTACAGAAATTGCATAATGAGGGCAATATTTCTGAGGTGAAAAGGAGTCTTCATCAACATTTTCCAAGAGACTCAAAAGACAGGAAGGGATCAAGTGTAATCACATTGTTCTCAAAGGATGGAAGCTCACATATCCATCATTGTTGCCAACCACCCTGTGAAATACAAGAACATTACACCATTTGGAAAGACATGTCGACAACCATCTGTATTAAATTTCACTTCTGATCATAATTACCTAATGAACAAATTATGTAAGAAATCACATGACCCGTTTTTCAGTCCTAATCAGGTGTTAACAGTAACCATCCGTCCTAATTAGAACACAGAGAACAGTAAGACCAATAGCACACCTGGGAACAGGAACTGCCTATATCTGACTGAAATTCCTTATTCACATCACCATGTAAAGATAAGATATTTGTTCTCTTACTGCCAGTAAAGTTTTGTCAGCTTGAAAATTCAGAAAATGTGTCTCAATTCCTTCTTATGGATAATTTAAACCTGTTGGCTTCATCAAAAATACTTTCATAAACATATACTGAAGACAAGCCTTAGGACCCCAAATATTGAGGCCAAAAGACATTACCAGCATGAGAAAGAACTCAGTGTTTGAGTACTTGTCACTATATGATGAGTACCATGGGAAAATGTTATGCTGAGGTTATTTTAGGATTTCACTATACATGCGAAAGCAGCTTCAACTAGGCTCTCCATAAGGTGTTGCAGTGCAATTCAGTGCATTTCTGAATAGGTGGTCCTCAGGCATGTTATAGATATAATATTACTTTGGAAAGGTTTGCAGGATAGCTGTTTTAAAACAGCTGGGCAAGAATTTCAGACATGCCTTGTGATGAATACTTCACAATGCCTGACATACCTCAGCTCAACAGTGAAAACTGTAGCTTAATTCACAAGACATTTGTGGACAAGTGGATGCAACATGTCTTCACACACAGCGCATCACCCTGCACCAAATAACCACTTAAAAAGGAAATCTTGTACAACTCCTATCTGTAGGAGGTGACAGAATGCACTTGAGACCATTATTGACACGATGAGCCGTGGAACATGAGCCATCTCTGTCAGGGCTATAAAAGAAAATGTGAGGCAAAGGAAAAACAAGGAGCAAAGATCAAGGAGAGAAAGGCTGAAGAATGTGATAATGCTGAAAACAGCCATGTATACTGGATTCCTTATCTTTCCTTGCAACCAGGTGCTGGAAAAAGAAAATGTATTCAACCAGCTGTATTCTGCTAATGAACTAGCAAATCTGAAGGTTCATATACCACTTCTATAAATTGGTCAATCACATAATCCTATATTATCACTAGAATAGAAGCAATATATCCTCCCCCCCCAAAGTAAAGCAAACATATATAGATATTTTCAAGTGCATTTTCTTAATTTGTTTTAAGCCCACAAACTCAACTGGAACTGGTTTCCTTCTTTTCATTTTCCTTGGAAAAATATTCTTGAGGCATCCCATCCAGTGTGTACCCTGCCTGGTGCCCATTGTTTGCTCCACAACAACTCTGAATTCGGAACAGCAGCTAGAACATGGATTGATGGATAAATGGAAATATTTGTTTCAATAAATTACATAAAAATACATAATTAAATTAAATACCAGATGAGAAAATAAGCTAAAGTGCACTGCAAAAATATAATGTATTAGCATTCTTTTCCCAGAGATTGCTAGCAGACTTAATGGAAATCTAGAGTCATTCAGAAGGTAATGAAAGTCACACAAATGACGCAAACGGCAGACGAAAAGAAGATGTGAATTTGGGCTGCTTCGTGTGGGACAGGGGAAAAAAGTAGCTGGTCTTGGACATGAATAAGGAAGAAGAGGTTTACCAGTGCAGAGCCATTGACTGCAGGACTTGCTGGTGGCGCCCAAGAAGAGCAGAACGGACTCCGGGATGCATTGGCTCAAAAATGGACCCACTTGGTTCTAAAAGTGGCCTGGGATGTGAAAGCTCCAAAAGCAATGAACGACTCCTAAAAGGACTCTATAGGAGGATCATGTAGCAGAGCACCGCAAAACTCAAGGGAAAAGCATGATGGAGCAGAGAAGAGTGGTAAAACACAAGAAGCTGGGAAAACACAATAAAGCAAAAATTAAGATGCTTGACAGAAATTGAACAAAATCACAAAAACAGCAAACACTTAATATTTAAAATGGTAAACATTACTTTATATATACACAAATATACTCTACTTGATTTTTTTAATTAAAGTGTAAAACCTTGCTTTCAAGGAAGTTTCATGAAGAGAATAATTTTCACCGATATGCTGTACAATGAACCACACAGCAAAAACACTGTAGAAGATTTTATAACTTGCAATTGTGATTTGCAGTGTTTGTCCATTTCTTACAAGTACTTTTTTCTTCAACCATTTGTTTTTCTTTCCATGTACAGTAGGTTAGGAACATCAGAATGAGAAAACAGAAGCCTTGTCATCTCTCACTTTATATTGAAAATAAAAGTGATAAAGCACTCTTTGGGGAAAAAAAGACTAGTTGTTTTGTTAACATAGTTTTCTTTTTAAATGTAGTTTTGTTGATACATATGAGTGTTGCGAAAATTAGAATTTTATTTAATATTTTGAAAAGCATTTTTCAATTTATTTTTAAATGTACTTTAATGTATCAAACTAAAAAATTAAATGATGAACAAGCCTACTGGACACTATAAGCAAATTGTGTCAAAGTTTTTTTTAACAACTACAAATTTAATCATTCTTTAGAACATTAATAACTTTGTATTAGAAGCTCTGAAATCATTAAAGCCAAACTCTGAAATCACGATACTCAGAAGACACATACGTGGAAGCAGCTGCATGATCTTATTAAAGAGCAATTGGTAACACCTGCCCTCTTTGTTATTAGAAAGCTCCTGACACCTTCGTCATTACTGACACCCTGACAAACCGCAAGGCCTGAATGAGCACAGTTCTGTTCAATCTGGTTCTTGCTTTAGTAATTAGTAGAGCAGTGGACAAACTCTCAAATCAACACATATCTACTTATAAAGTCTTTAAAGCAGATAGAAAATGTCAAGGACAAACAGTTGAGATCAAAGGAGACCACATTTCACTGCTTGTTCTTGCATTTATCAGAAGGATAAGATCAGATTTTCACACGGACCTGACATGGTGAAGATTAGTGTAAGCTGTTTGAAATGATTCTCACAAGCATCCCGCAAGAGAAGGAACAACAGTCTAAAGGGTTGAATCGTTTAGAAAGATCAATCTTTGTGTTTTCATCTGTTGCTATGCTATTGTGCACAGCTACATCTTTAACAATCTATTGCATTTCTGCAATTAACAACAGCTGTCCACACTGATAACTCATCTGCAACCTGACAGCACTCGCGGCAAATGCAGATTTTGAGCACCATCCCTCCTAATTAGAACACAGAGAACAGAGATTACTCTTGGACTTGACAGGGAGATTGTCAAATGACTCCTTGTCTGCTATGATTAGTTCCAGCAGTGTGTGTCATTGGATATTTCTCATCTGCTTTCATTAACGAGGCCCACAGGTAGCACTGACAAACAGGACAGGACTGGCTTTTGAACAGTGGGAAATAAGACACATTTTTCCTCCCTACCTTTGATAGATAGCATTAATGTTCTATACATGCCAACACGTATTATTCACTGAAAATCAAATACTTATATTCCCTATAAAAGCAAAACTATTTTAAGATAATTCAACTATTTTTTAAATTATCCTCAAACTTCTCTGTGCCAAATTATGAAAATGCACAATTGTATGCTTTCACAAGAGAAGGGAATGTACAAAATGCCACTCTAAAATGATCAAACAAGGTTGAATCCATGATGCTCTTGTGATTAACAGGACTGAATCCAATAAAAGAAAAAATCATTTTGGAATACCACAGTGCAAGCACAGAAAACAGATCAAATAACCAAATTTCAGGGATGTGTTCCACACAATCAGCAAATCTACCTTTACAAGCCAAATTAAAAATCTTAATATAATACAATTAAAGGTGTAAAGCTTAAAAACCAAAAGGGACTTTATAATCAGTCTTTCCCTTTTAAAGAATGTGAAAATATATTTGTTAGGATTATAATATAAGATCACCAGGCTCTGGAAGTGCACAAGTCTTTTTTTCCTTTAATTGTTTGACACATTAAGGCAAACATACAGACAGAACAAGTGGAATCCAACTCAAGTACAAAACCATTGTTTTATAATACCAAAGGTAGCTAAATTACATATCACAAATATCCAAAATGAATATCTTTTTCTTGTAGTGGAAAAAAAGTACGAACAAATCTGTACACAAGCATCAGGAAAAGACACAGAAATTGAAAGTGCATAATGTGGAAATTATCCCTTTTTAATATGGCTTGGACACATGAAAACAAACTGAAAAAACAACCTAAATAAGGGCATTTTTGCATTGTTGGGAGACATTGTTTACCAAAACAAAGTATTATTCAACAAAGCTGGAGTACATGCACGAAACAGTTGCCAGCATCCTTATTCTTGCAGCAATAAGCTTCCTTGGGAGCATAATACCTTTCTGGCAGAAAAAATATTAGATAAAAAAATAACTGGCTTTGGTGAGACTGAACTTGTAGGAGATATGCAAAACAAATCACAAATACTTTAACTAATCATATAGCTCACATGGGGAAAATGAACAGCTTAGGGTTTCAAAAACTCTCAAAAGAGAGTTCCAGTCCAACAGATTTTATATATCTCCATTAAATCGCCTCAAGTCTCCAAAGGTTTGGTAGACTTAAGCAAGTGACCTGTGAATTAAATTTAGAGGTCGTTTGGGACCAAAAATCCCATTCAGTCCTGGAGAATCGGTATAATCTGAATTGAGTGCATTAATTGCTTAATTGATTAATCGTTACAAGCATTCCCACATTTTAGAAAAATGTGACCTAGCACGTAGGCTGGGGCTCTCTAGGATCAGGGACAAAGATTCCAGGTTTTGATATCTGCAGCAACTTAATTTGGACTGGCACATGCAGACTTCACCAATGAGAGGTAACAAACAAGGAACATTTAAGCCCTTTTGCTATTTCACAAAAAGCCACATTACACACACACTGTATATACTGTATGCACCAGACTATATATTATTCTATGGCTTTTCAAAAAATGTGTTCTGAGGATGCTATCAATTCTGTTCCGTCTGTGGACTTTTATATCCTAATACATTTGGTCTACAGACAGATAAACAGGTTACGTGAGAAATTTAATCCACATACAAACAGTGCCTCAAGACTGCTTGCCAAGCAATTCTCATTGAAAAACTACCATCAAAGCTCCCATTTTGCAATTGCTGAGCGGATCAAAATGTTCATGTAATACAGACCATAACGTGATAAAGGGCCACAGTGTCACATTACTGATTAAAAATAAGTTGACTGGTGACTGTGTCACACACAGAAAATTTTATTGTAACCAGATCTTTAACAGAGTCTATCAGATTAAGTTAACATAGCCTTTTTCCATCACAAAACAAAACATTCAGTTTCCTGCTAACTTTAACATTAATAATAAAGTGAATATTGGGGAAAAAAATGTTAAATTATGAAGGAAAGAAATGATATTTCCATGAAAATGGAACAATTATAGTGTGAGATTTTTTAGTGTCAGAAACAAGAACACAAAGTTCTGTCAATACCGATTCTGATAAACATGTTTTCACATGCTTTCAACCAAACACAATAAGTACCAATACTTATCTTGCAGGTAAGTGCAAAAAATTAATCAAAACATACAAAATATCAAATAACAAAGTGAATTTAATAAAAATGAATGCATCAGCTCTGAGGGTGTATTGATGGTGAAACAATCAATGCTTTATTATAATCAGCCAATGTTTATGGATAGTTTCCCCACATTTACCCAGTTAAATGTCCCACTTTTAAAGTGTAGTGTACATGGCAGTGGGATGGCTGTGAATGGCCACATAACCACTGCAGATAAAGACACCTTGAACTGTAACAAGATGTTCTACACAAGAGCAAGTCTTGTTGAAGGAGGAAATTATTTCATTATTCCAAAATAAGACCACAGACCTACTTCATTCAAAAGACTAATGAAAGTTTTATGATTTACAGAGAGATATTTGGTGTCAAGCTAAGTGAATTTTCAATTCAGATCAGACGTCAGCAGGACTCATCATCTTGGTGGAGAAGCTCAACATCTGTTAACAGGTGAATTTCACAGATAGATAAGAGAAGACCTGAAAGTCTGTCTCTTCACATTTTCCATATCCATAACCTCCTGAATCATTACAATACTACACCATGCATACTGCCAAACGAGACTTGTTGCAAGAAAGTAATGTGGCAACTACCGTTCATGCAAGGAAAATAAAATGAATACACTACCTTCTTTTGACATACTATTCGCAACCTGCTCTTCTCTAACCACAAAGAGAGCTGCCCTGTTGACCAGCACAGTACAGCAACATACAGGTGCTGTACACAACTCGATACGTGTGAATTCCAGTTTAATAGTAAGTAAAATGAAACTTCTAGCTTATGTTTACTGCCTTCAAAGAATGCCCGATAGCTTTATCTAAGGCATAAAAGGAATGTTTTCCTGCAACAGAAATATGCCCTAGTTGTATTTAAAAATGTTAAAAAATATCTTCAAACATCATAAAAATGCTATATTTGAGTGGCCAGACTTTAGCTTCTTTTACTAATGAAACAAAGGCTGTTTTTTAATTAATCTCAGGTAAACAACAGAAAAATGCTACTCTGTCAGTGCAATGTCAAAACCATAATGCCAAAATACTGAAAGTACATCAGTGTGAATGGAAACATTTCCATTCAACAAAACTTAAACAGTAAAATAAAACATATATACCTTATCTAACTTTGAATCACATGATTTTAGTTACATTGATTCTAAGCAAATAAACCTTAAATATCCCAATTTGCAATTTTATTAACTTGATACTGATTCAAATTTCTGCATCACTGTACAACATTTTGAGTAACTCAAAACCAAACTCCTTGGTTTTCGAGGACTAAACAAGCATGTTACCATTCTACAGGAAGCTCTAGGAAACTTCCTATCATAGGATAAAACTTAATTTCAGACTAAATGTGAGTCACAGTTGCTGCTTGTCTGCTTGAAAACAGCTCAGTTAAACTGGTTCTGAATTCAATAATATGGTTTCTTACTAGGTTTTATATTACACATAACGGGCTTATATTCATAAATGATGCTTCCTATTCTCTCTTTTTTAAAACCAAATACCAGTATGTTCCTGAACTTTTTGATTTGATCATCATGTATCATTATTGGCAATTTATGTACCTGCAAATGAAAGTTTAGTGGTATGACAAAATAAACACAAAAACAACAAACCAAAAATAAATTCTCAAATTATATGCAGCATAAATATTATAAAGAGGAATGCTTCTTGTTCAACAAATGAGTCATCACCGTCAACTGAATCATCTGCTAGATAATTTTCTACTAATTGCCTGCATGGAGATTACTGTAACTTGTTTCACTAGTACGTTAAATAAAACTTGACCATGACATAATGAGTGCACAGAAAGCAGTCCATTAGATTAACAGTGAGTTATCCTATCGCAAAGTTAAGTGTTTCTCATTTGCCCAGCATTGGATTGTGATCACTTTCCTGAGATTAAAGTTCAGTTTTCAATTAACTGTTTTACAACACAGGGAAGTATTAAATAATTCTGCAATTCAAAATTCATTCTAATATAATCACAGATCATCTTCTCAACATTTAATAACATTCCCATATCTGTAATGGTTAAAAATGTGTAAAGTAGAATTTAACCAAAGAGACTGATTTTAAAATGTATAGGGGAAAACTGCATTGCCAAATTAACCCCCATATCATTGTGCATTTTCAGCTCAAAAAAATTTGAATGTTTTACCGTTAGTCCAATGCAATGCTTATCTAAAAATGACAGCACTTGTAAACAGGATATAGTCATCTCTTTTTTCAGATTGTAAAGGCATTTCCAGTTTGAGTCAAAGTCTTAAGTTCCTTCTAAGAAGTGTCACAGAACACTGATTAGTACAAAAAAATCTAATGCAAAATCACAAAAAAAGTGCTATAGTGTAGTTGATAAAGCAGAAATACAGGAATCAGAGAGCACTTTCAGACTCTCTGTAGGCATAGCAAAAAATTAGATATATTGGACATCAGACTTACTTTGAAGCACCCACTGCTGATCCAACAAAACTACTGTGTATGTAAAACCTCTCTTAAGCATGAGTGGTGCAATGCTGTAGATACAGTGCTGCGGTGCATGGAGGCTCTTCCCCTGGGTGCTCTTGGAATAATGGATGCTTTGGCCCCCAGTTGCTGTGCTCAAGGAGAAGAAGGGGTCCCACCTGAAAGGCTCGAAGATGTCGCCAGGTGCTGCTGCAACTCACATGGTGATGTAGTGCTGCCTAAGCTTGGCCAGGAGAAACTCCTGGGTCAGATTGTGCCTGGTGATGATCCCAACGATCTGGAAAAAAAATGGGAGGGACAGTAGAGATCAGCTAGCTTTCTCTGCCACATGCTTCTGGGGGTTTCGCAAATACAGCAGCAATGGAGCGGCTTTGGAAGCACAATTCAAAATTGACGTGCCTCTCCTACAGCGTTGACCACAGGCAAATGTCTCAGTCCCATGGTTCTGAAGAGGTTGAAGACTTGAGAGACGTGGGTGTTCGGAGACACAGTGTACGGACAAGGGTTCATGTATGGTGTGACATCCTGCAGAAACAAAATCATGTACATAGTTGACATTTGAGGGGGGTGAGGAGATCCAGTGACTACAATGACACTGACTTCAGCCCCTTGATCAGGGAGGAATGCTAAAATGTAAGAGTGGAAAATGCAATGATAGAGTAAAATTCTCAAGTTATTTGATAACACTTCTCTGAATAAAGATTTTCTTTTCAGTGCACATAACAGTATAACCGGTATTTTTTAGGCAAAGCATTAAAAGGAGGAACAGGAAGAGATCTACTGAAAATTTACAGAGGTATTATGCAGAAAGAGAACAAAAGACCAAGTAAAATGAGGGTCACAGATATACCACTATCATCCTAGGGTTGAGTAAGAGCAGATCCAAGTCGTGGATATCGGGGTATCGAGGATAGTCTTCAGTCATCTCACTGAATGAGAGCCGTGGCTGTGTTGCACTCTGTAAGGACCAATAGAATGTGAGACAAACCACGATTGTGTTAAAACTGTCAATAAACAGGTAGGACATGGTCAGGTCAGCTTGTTAGTTTTCAATTAACGCTAGTTTTTATTCTAAAAATTTAAAATATTTTGAGCTATAAAAAACAACCTATATTGAGAAGAAAAAGATTCTTATTCTGAATATTTATGTAAAAATAGTCATTTGCTTTAATGCCACTCTCTTATGCATTAAACTTTTAATGAATACATATGAACATATCAGGTGTTCACCCATTGAATGACTGTGTAAATACCTCCCAATTCCACCTGCATGCTCACCGATTGGTTTTCTGCATAGCACACACCGCGTATCAGCAGAGTGACCAGCTGGGAGCGCAGGATTAGACCATGAAAGGTCAAAGGGCGGAAGCGCTCCTCCATAGTCCACTCCTCGCTGGGCGACTGGTCAGGGTACAGGTTGGGATAAGGCACATGTCTAGAGGAAAGGGAAAGCAACCCCGTTAAAACAATGTAGGTAAATCTGCTGCCTGTACTTAAGCTCTTTTCAATTCTGATCACTTTTTGTGAAGCTACACTGATTGGCGGGTTAGTGGTTTCTTAAGAGGACTATTCTTAGAAGCCTAGAGGGGTGTAGGTCTGGAGATCAGTTCAAATAACTCACTATATGCAAAGAAACATTTCCACAAGTACTCTGCAATCATTCCAGAGCAACAATATATTTTTTGCATGTGACCACAAATACACATATAACAGTTTAAATGAGTTACATTCTGCAATTTTAACATAACAGTTAACCTTGATTTCAATGCTACAACTTTAACTATGTATCCTAACAGTCCAATACAGTTACCTTTTAATTTCTCATGTTTCATGCATTTTTTTCTCCTTTTCAATAATTCCAATACTTCATGTTTTGCTGTGACATAAAAGACTCTGCCCGAGTACTGTGGAAGATATCATTTTTAAAGCAGGTGACAGACCCTGCAGCTGAAAAGCCATAGTTCAGCAAAACATAATAGATCATTCTTAAATGTACTGACGCATTCGTAAAGTCAGTGCACTTGTTCCATTAAGTCAGGAACAACCAACTATAGTCCTCAAGACTACACAACTACAAAATGTATTTACTTTTATGATAATAAACTATGGATCTGGACAAATCTCACTAAAATCGGAGGTCAGAACAAAAACTGTTTCAATTAAATGCTCAAGTGAAATTGACAATTTAAGCATCACCCATGAAATCGGTGGACATTCCAACATTGGCCATCACTGTTGCAGGAGCACAGGGACTGGTGCCACTGTGCTTCTCACCTCCTCTCCAGCATCTGTTGCAGCATGTCCTGTCCTTCGTCCACCGGCTCGGCGCTGACCTGATCGTCGCACACGTTGCGCAGCTCGCTCGACGGGTACGACTTCATGGACTGGCTCCGGCGCCGCTGCTCCCCGGCCCGGGTCAGGATACTTGACTTCTGAGGCCCGGCAGAAACGCAGCCTTAAAACAATGCACCCGGCTGCACGCAAATAGACAGGACTCCACCCACAATAAAGTTTATTTTGATGAACATGACCCCTTCCACACACTAAGCGCATTTCCATTTTTTTTAACCGTTTTGTAAAGCACTGAAATATGAACATTAATAATTGAGGTAAAATTATAATGTCACATATTCTAGCTGCACTGGAGGTCACACAGATATTGTTATTATTAAGTCTCTTAGGCTGCATGTTTTGCAGTTTCTTTCCTTATAACAAAATTACAGAATGTCCCTTAATTTCTTTTGCACAAAAGCTGTAGATAATTTGCAAAATTTAAAAATGCAGGAGCAAACACAAAGGAGTGCAGTACTAGAAATACTGTGCAATACTACTTTTTTTTGCAAAGCACTGTCTACCTCTACTGGAGAGCATTGGAATTTCACCTTAAACCTGATGTTGTTGCTAATGAGAATGTTCCCTTTCATGAATTCTGTCTCGTTGCCTCGGTTCTCTGTTACCACAGGGAAAGCATGGTACACTGTGGTCCTCAGGATGCTGACCAGAGACTGGATACGAGTGTGGGGGTACACATAGGTCAGATTGGGCTCCATAATGTCACTAGCTGTCAGTCTGTGGGGAAAAAAATACATTGTGTGACAAACACAGGCTCACAGAAAATGAAAATGCTAGCCGTGAACTAAGCTTTTGGGAATTCCTGGAAAGAATGACAGGTACAAACTAGGGATAAGAAAAAAATACTCTCCTAGCGTGGCTTTGTTCTAGATTGGCTCAAGGACCGTACTGTAGTACTGCAGTACTGTAACCACCACACCGAAGAGGAACAAAGCCTTAGCTAATTGATAACATTTATTATAACATAAATAATATTACTTACTTATCCATCTCAACCTCTGTCTCCCACTCCAATAAAGGCGCTCCTTTGAGAACAATGTAGATATCATATATGCCCTTGTTGAAGAAATCTCCAGTCCACTTTGCTACCTATTAGATCACAGTGAAAAAAACAGGCATTTCTCCTATAATTAGTATGGAAAATTGCAATTTGTTCTATAAGAACAAAAACTATTTTCCAAATGATGGGATTACATAATTTACTATTTGAGTTTAGATAGCAGGAATGGATCAATGCAAAATGGGTAACTTCTAACTTCAGATGAAAGTTCATTTTAGTGCTTATACTTTTATTAAGGACTACAATTTAGCAATGCCCTTGGACTCATCTCTGCTCCTAGATGAAACTTCAATGCCTTTCTGAAACCATTAACAATTAATTACGCTGGAACTGTTTCTACATTTAAATTATTAAATTGTCCTTTCACAAAATATGTTGATAAGAGTTCATTCATTTCACTTGAAAAAACCTTTTAAGCTGAAAGTAAGAAATTCAAACTCTTATATTCTCACTGGAGATCGCCTACTAGTGGACTTTAAACAGCTACCTTCCGGCCAGCCAAACATCATTGGACCGTAACAGAATTAAACTGGGCTGACAAGAAAATTGGAAACCATTAATATTTGACAGCCACATGAGTTAGAGATAGAAATGACAATGGATAGAAAGAAGCTGGCTGGGAGTGTGGCCAGTAACCCAGTTCCTACCATGAGAGTTATCATGATGGGCAGCCCGTATGATATTTCATTGGTCGATTCGATTAGAATGACAGTCAGGCTGATGGTCATCCGGACCACACCCCCAAGAAAAGAAGCTGCACCAATCAAAGCGAAGGTCCCAGCGTAAATGTCCAATCCTATGTTTCTAGACGGAGAGAAGTTAAAATGAAAGCTTTTAATCGAGTGTGTGAATAGCACGTTATTTCTGTTGCTAAAATACATAGAGATCTGTAGAAGGAAGATAAGCAAATTTAACAGAATAGCATTCATTGTATACACACAAGCTTACAACAGACCAAATCAAAAATAGTGGTGCACAAAATCAGGAAGTCATATGTAATTATAAGCATACTTACCTTATTGGATAACATTAAGAAATCACATTACCACAATGACATATTCTTGTCAATTTGTGATGGAAATCACCATATTGTGATTATTGTGAATGCGCGTGCAACATTTCACGACTTGTAACAGACTATCAAAAGGGAGCCTTCATTAGGGTAGCCATGTGGCAGTCAGAGCAGCTGTGGAAGTAGGTCAAAATGAGCCTTGACATGTCCGAACAGTTTTGATAATGAATGTCTTCACTGTTCTGCTGAATGCCATTGGAACGGTGTCAGCGTTGCCATGAATTATCTTCACAAGTCTATGCTTTAGTGCTCTCTCAAATGTGAAGAAATACAGTGCTAACTTTTCATGCATAGAACAAGCCATGAAAATACATATTTAGTAACATGTCAACAAGAGGTTGTTTTTAGCAGCTGACTTATATCAGTCTGAACATTTCCACAACCTGCTTTCCTGGGCTCCAATGTGTCATGAGTGATTTGGCGTAAGTGTCATGAACAATGTGGAACAGCTACATGAAAAGTAGAGAAGGGCAAGCTCACGTTTTCAGGATGTTTGCTACAAGTCGGCCGTACGCAGCCCCACACAGCAGGGAGGGCACGAATAGGCCACTCGGCACAGAGACACCGTAGGTCCAGCAAGCCAGCAGAAAATACAGCACAAAGAAAATAGTCAAAGTCTCAGGACTAAATGTACCTGTAATGACAACAGGAGAGAAGCTCAGAAAGACAGTGTCACACTGTTACAAACCAAAGGAGGCTGCAAGCAGCCCCTAAGTAATACAAACAAATCTTCGGGCATTTGACATTTCAAAAAGATTATTTAGCCTGGGAACCTGGGGTCACTCGGATTTGGAGAGTGCTCATGATTCTCACCGTCTTGGTGGAACAGTTGGTGGATGGCCACTTCCTGTGGATTGAAGAAGAGAGCCGCCATGTCGTTGTAGGTTTTGTTTCGGCAGAAGAACTGCTTTATGGTGGAGTTTCCATCCTCGGAGGCAGGGCTCTTGAAAAACGGACAACAAAACTACATATTGCAAAAAGTAAACCAAGGAGGCCATTATGTAGCAACTGAGGTGTTCAATGGACCTGATATACATCTCATTTATTACAGTTTATTCTGTTTAACAACACTGTTTCAAAATTGAATGTTGGAAAACAGAAATGGTTCTGAAGACTTGTTGTTGTGCTACAGCAGGTTTAAAAGGGTAGCCATGCAGTCAGGATAAGGAAACTGGTACAATTAAGTTTAAGAAGCTCATCATTGTTTAGCAACTTGTTATGCTTATATACTGTTTGCTCCATTCACTTTGTTTATAAGATTTCATGATGCTGTCACAAAATGTTGATGAATGCAAGGAGTTAGTTACCAACACAATAAACGCAAATGTATAAATGTGTATAAGTTCATTCTCATGAGGCAAAGACCTACCTACATACAAAGAGGTCCTTAATAGCAACTTAATAGCAGCAATGCAAATGTATTTCTTTGATATTAAGCCTTAAGAGTACCAATAAAAACAAGAAATCTTCAATTATTCCCTTGTTACACATCATACAGCATCTCACCTATGCATATGGTACCACAATAAACATCATACACAGACCTGAAGAGAAATAACTGCAGACTCACTTGCAGCAGCAGGGTGGTATTGTCAGTGGTAGGAGAAGAGAGGTTCTGGCATTTCCCAAGAGTCATGGAGGCCACAAATATCACTATTGTTGTAACCATGGAAACTAGAAGGCTCTCCAGTAGTCTGCGACAACAGAAAAATCAACAGCATGGAGGTCCATGAAGGAACACAGGAGAAACAAAACCAAGGAAGAAAACTTTTTTAACAGTATGGATTTTGTCAAAGATGAAATTCTTTACACAGACAAGCCCAATGAGTATAGAAAAATGAATTTTGCATTCTTCAGTCAATGGTCAAAATCATTAGCAACCCAATGGAACGGCTGCTAGATATGTTCAAACTTCCAACACCCTTCCATACAGCAGGACCTCTGTCACTTGAGGCTATGATGCGGAACTGAACTTGTCTTCTCGTTATCAGGTCCTCACATTTTTAATATTACTGGGATGTGGGGGGTTGTTCTGACCAGGGAAGGTAATCGAAGTCTACTGTTCCTTTATACTCCTCATCCAACATAGCACAACCCACCCCTGGAATGCAAAAGATCATGGTATTTTGGCCACCACTTCTTAACTATAAAAAGACTGCAGAAGAAACGCTGTAATTTGCGGTCATGTTTCGAAATACCTGACGAACTTGGCTTTGGGATGCACATTCCTCATGCGGTACTTGGCCAGCCTCTTGTTCATGCAGTTGAATAGAGCTCCTAGCAAGCCGCCACCTATTCCCATCACCACAAAGAAGGCCAGGTCCACTGCGGTCCACAGGTGACACTTCTTATTGCCATCCGAGCACTGGAGGGGACAGCAAGACCTTTACAAACAACCTGCCCATCACAGACATGGTGGTGTAGGGAAAGAGCTACCCATGACTTTGAAGCACACACGCATTGTATTAATTATTTCTATATCTGGGTAGCAACTTACAGCAGCAAAAAAGTTAACTTTCTACAAATTACACATTTTTTTTACTTCATTAAAGTCTGACATTTATAAAATTAGGACAAATTATTCATGGGCAAATCATTCATTCATTATTCCAAAAAGTACTCACATTCCAGCACAAACAGCCCTTCAAAAAAAGGTAACAAAATCTGAATAACAAATTTACACAGGAGTCTGCCACTTGCTGCTTTTTCGTACCTTAAACTCTCCAAAGTTTAGAAGCCCTGGGAGCTGAAAAGTGCCCCAGCTGTTGAACATAATTCCTGAGCGGAAGAAATTGAGGGTGAAGGTGGCCGACATGGAACAGAACAACTGGAGAGACAAAGAGGGAGAGGCAAATGATCAGGGGAGCACATGAAAATACTCTTTGCCATCACTCTACCACCCAGTTTCTCATATACAGTAGATTCCTTCTTTCTCTTGACTTGCGAAACTACTCCTCTTTCAGTAAATGTTCACACAGCTTGCTCCACTGTGACTCAACTGGTAAAGGTGCTTGCTTCAAGCACAGTTTGCACTCTGCAGCCCAGATCTCACAAGTTTGATCCTGGGTCATGTCACTTTTTGACTGTATCTAGGATTCCCCCACATGAGGTGAACAACTGGCAGAATGTTGTCATCAGGATTGGTCAGCCAGGACTCTTTAAGCAAAATGATACCTGCAAGCTTGCAGTGACATCTGTGAGAAACCTGCTGCGCCAGCTAGCACTGCATCTACTGCAGGGAGCTGTGGAGCTTGCAGCCTTCCAGAAGGTGAATGATTTAATAATCAGACAGATCAGAGGAATTTCTCTGCCTATTGTCATTCTGTCCATGTATTGCCATGCAGAAACTACTGCTGTACGATGCAAATACACAACCAAAGATTCAAAACTGGGAGGATATATGACGAAAACGCAAAGGGAATGCTCGGAAACAAATTAGATAATATTTCACAATTAGGCACAGTCAATAATACCACCCGAGAAGAATTATCAGTATTGCACAGTCTGCAGTTTTGCTAATATAAATTTACTCTTACACATTGCAAATAAAATGTGACAACAGGCATACAAATATGACTGATGGTTTAGCAAATTTAACACTTAAATGCTGCTTACCACTTTCCATGTGAGTGCCTGGTTCCAAAAGGATGACCCTTCCTCCAGGCTAAACAGTGTTCCTCCTATAGGAGCCCCAAAAGCAGCTGCCACACCAGCTGCAGCCCCTGCTGACACAAAGTCCCTCTTGTCTCTAGGAGTTGGACAAAATATAAACATACACTGAGCATCAAAAGACAATTCTAACAGCAAAAATTCATTTGTTTATCACTGGACTGGGAAAAAGATTCTTTTGTGGCTGATATAACCGCATTTTATTGAACAGATATGACAAAGTGATTATGCTGAATTGAATTCGTCATCAACAAAGGTTGATCAAGTGAGGGACTGCTGTGAAAGTCATAGGCTAGCAGCGTGTGCAGGTACCACTAGAAGCAATACAATCATGGTTTGAGGGATTCGGTCCCGTTCCTTTCACATAGCCAAGACAATCATGTTTCCATCTGTTCACTGGTCTCTGAGCCCTAGAGAGCACACATCATCCCAGCTCATCTGGCAAATGTTCAATGGGGCTCAAGTCCGGTGAACTTGACATCCATCATACAAATGTCACATTCTCACCAAGTAGGAAAGCTGTTGCTAGGCGAGCAGCATAAGGACATGTATTGCCCTGCTGGAATACTGTCAAGTGAGGTGAGGTCCCAGAATTTGATCAATGTAGCACCAAGCAGTCAGCATGCCATTGATTACTACAAGTGGATTTCTGTAATGACTCGACACTCCTTTGCAGAGCCTTCACACTTTCAGCTCCCCTTTGAGTTCAAGCATATCTTTTCTGAATGCATGCATCATATAAAGTACTTGCTGGTGTCCATCAGGGTGGTCAATACAAAAGGTTGATTCATCGCCAAAAAGGAAGAATGAATTGCTCTCGCGATAAGTGGTGCACATTGGTTCTGTTTGCGGGTCATTCTTTATTTATTATTATGCTTGACATTTAGCAGGGTAAAGGATCACATCCAACCTACCCAAACCACTTTTTCACTAATGAGGTGATTAACTCAAAATCAATTGAGTGCATCACAGTGAGTCATGAATTATTAACTAATCAAAATGATACCATAAACATTTAATCGATACCCATAATCCGTATACATCCCCCCCCCAAAGATATACATGCAGAAACAGAATGAAGATTATATATTTTACAGGTCTATTTATGTCTCATGAGGAGTGTCTGGTGAAAGCTCAAGAAATAAAATGTTCATTTAGAATACATAAAAAGCCAAGATCGGCAATAGTGATGTTATTTAATATTTTTGAAGATAATCCACTCTTTTTAGAAAGAGGTGTTACCCAAGAATAAATCTGATTTTGTTTGGGATGGATTAGTGCGACACAGAGAAAGGCAGAATGCCCAGCAAAAGTTGATCACATTCTTGACAGAAGGCCGCAAAGGCATCAGAAGATCAAGTTGAAACGAAGATATGTGCGCTTACCTGTCACTACGGAAATAGGGGAAATTGAAGCGAATTTTCTTAAAAGTGATGCTCTGAAACTGGAAACAAGAAAAAATGTTAAAATTGGAGTATGGAGAAATGTAGATCATGAGACAATCCAATCACAAACCTTGACACACTCACCAATTGCAAATTACAAACCCAGTATTTGAATGCAAATACTGGTTTGGTGGATGAGTCCAAAGAGTGTCAACTCTGGTTTTGAACCCAGTTTCAACTGTCGTCTTTCAACAGTCACAGACTTGCAAAAATCTATTGGTAACATATGGCAAAACATATAAACAGTACTTTTTCTCTTTTGTTTCAAAGCTAGCATTTCACTGATAAATACAGCTACTGAATTGTCAAATTTATGTTATTACAAATGCAGCAGGCTAAATTAGAATTAACTTTAATAATACCTGACAGCAGGGATGCCCTGGCAACAAGCATGGCAGGCCACTGTGCTGTGTCTGCAGTTTTCCATTTAAACACAGCTCTAAATGAGCTAATCCAGCTGGTTACTGGCTTAACTGGACCAGCTGAGCTGCATCTCCCAGCTCTCATGCTGCCCTGGCTTTAATGAGGTACTGACATCATACAGAAACACTGGCCCCCTACTTATTCTATTGTTAAAGTCACCAACAATGAAATGATTTCTGTACCTGAGGCAGGCCTGCTCCTATGATGGAGCCGCAGTGAATCATTGGGCCCTCTTTCCCAACAAAGAGTCCTGTAAACGATGTCAAAGGTCACAACACAAACTTCCCTTTTCAGTAAGTAACCTAGACCAGTAGTACCTAAGCTTGATCCTGGAGGAACACAGGTGGTCAAAACCACCCTATGTCACGTACCAATTCAGCTTCTCCTCAGCTTGCTTATCCTTATTTCTGCCTAAACAATCCTTGCTATTTGATCAGTTTATGACGAACAAACACAAATGGGAATAAAAGTGTATCACACACACTCACAATGAGCTTTTGTTTCCTTCTTCAGGCATGCAACTGTGTACATTTCAGGCATCATAACTGAATGAGGGTACTTCTGAAACTCAGAATCTGGTATAAAGTTGATACCCATTACAGATTCCATTTAACCTTTTAACAGCTAAAAACAAATTTACAGTTATGCCCCAAACAGAAAACTGAAATCAATTAGGCTGCAATTAAATTCTCATCTGGAGCAAAAACCAGAAGACACATTGTTCTTCCAGGATCAGGGTGGGAACCACTCACTTATGTCATTGCATTGTGAACGTACTCAGCACTTAAAGAGAGTCAAAGCCAAAATGCATCTAATACACTTGCGTTCTGCCCACATAATGAATTGTGTTCTTTGAGTTTGCTGTGTGCTTAGCTTCCAAATGTAATAATTTTAGGTGAAACTACTTTGATATGAAATGTCATTATCTGTTGAGTTTCCCTCATGTACATGTATCTTTTATGGATTCCTGTCACATGACCAGACAGAGAAACTTAGAAACGGATCACCAAGGAGGAACGTACTGAGCGCACCACCTACCTCCAGCCACAGAGAACAGAACTCCCACTGCCTTGCACACGAAGGTCCGGAATCTCACAATACCAGGAATTTTCACCCCGTTCAAGTAGCTCTTTATCTCAGGTATACCTGACCCTGCAGCTATAGGCTGAGAGAAAGTATCAAGCAAAACTTAATAAAAACAGAAAAGAAGACTTGGCAAACAGTTTTCACACCACAGCACGATTTACAAACACATTTTTTAGTCATAAGATTCAACTTAAGGAGATTTTTGAAGGTAGAGCATTTTATGAAGTAGCTGAGCAGGAAGGAGCCCAGAAAATGAGCGTTTCATACTAACATCATCATGCAGGTACATTGGCACTTCACAGGGTACATTTAAGTTAAGTCATAAACAATAATATCAAAATGCTGACTTGCAGTCTGCACTTCTCACTGAAAACACTTACCTCAATAAGAACTAAAACACTAGCAAAAAAGATAAAGGTCATGTTGAAAGCCAGTAGTTCTAATAGGGATAAAGCAAGACAGCCCTTTTCACTGCATTCCTCCACGGCTGTAAGCCACCGGTCAAGGAAACCAACAGACCGGTTACTGACGGGTTTTATGAGAGTTTGGAACAAATCACAGACGTTTCTAGAACTACTGAACTACTGATGGGCGATCATGTGGCAATCAGGAGCAGGCCTAAAATACATTATTTAAATCAGTCTACAAAGGTAAGCATAAAAACACTGAAAAGGATACATTTTCCAACCAAGTTCAACTTGATCTGAGAGAAGAGCCGTACAAAATAATCAACAAAAAGACCCACCTGTAAAAAGAAAAATGTACATGCATTACCGAGAGAAGCTAAATTGAATCTTTTTAGTCCACCTCTCAGGTAAATATTCATCCAGTTGTCTATGGATCATGGATATTCTTCTTTCACCCTAAGCTAACCACAATAAAGCAGCCTGCTTTAATTACGAAGAAATGCTGTTCTTCTACTAAAATAGGAAATATTTCCATTAGTACAAAACACTACATTTGGCACTGAAGCAAGACACCTACCTGGCACTGAACAGAAGCCATTATTTACCAGCTGCCCTATTACACAGCAGGTCAGGTCTTTGCTTCTCTGGCTGAATTAAGGACAGGTTTAGGTAAGCCAAAATGAGCAATGCTCAAAGCAGAACTCAGCGAGGGCACTGGGGTTAACACCCTTACTCTTTCGAGAAGTGCCCATGAAGTCAAACAGGGCAACTCCAACATCATTGTGTCCACCAGTACCAATACCATTCTGGGGTACTGGTTTGGAAATTATTTTACAGAGGGAAGAGCACCAATTACTGGTCCACAGACACCACTTACAGCAACAGCCTGGTTTTCCTTAGAGGTCTGCCCTCCCATTATAGATCAGGCTGAGCCTTGCTTAACTTATGCGACCTGACAAGACAGCATCAATTACTTACCAGACCGGTACAGACCCCAATGGCAAATACAACCATCCACTTCACTGCTTCATACTTTCTGGCTGTCTAATTTGGGAGGGGTAGAAAACAAATATGATTCCAATTACAATGGCTGTCTGTAAACCAGGACTCTAATACCAATTCAAAGTGTGATTTACATTACAAAAACTGTAACTGTAAACAAATTCTGGGAAACTGAACTTTAGTCAAGACAACTATAGTAGATGTAGGTTTTGACTTTTTGGCAAATAACCAAATAAACATGGGTTATATATCTATCACAATATTGTTTACCTTAATAATAAAAGCAGAAAATTGGCTATGGTAAAAACACAGATTTTATTAAAAATAAATGCTCTAAGTATAAAATCGATTCAGTCTTTTAGAATACGGATAATATTTTGGTGGTAAGCACGTGTCCTGCCATGTTGTTGCTTTACCTTATTGTCCATTCCCTCCAAAACCTCCACATAGGGTTCATTGATGCATTTGTCATAGTCCAAACTCTGCCGTAGAAAGGAAAAATGAATCAATAACAGTGGTAAGAATTTTCATTTCCAGCTTTCCACCTGTGGAATTGGTGCTGTATCACATGAAGCAAGAAACTGATTCTCGGAACAAGAGCTGGTTAGTCATGTCCACCGGGAACTGTTAGACCTGGGTACACAGCTCATGGATCTAGCAAAAAACACTGAAAG